AAACCAAATAAATAAATAAATTGATAACGACAATTGTCACGCAATTATCAAAGTGTCTGCGGCGCAAGCAACAAATGCTCATATCTTGAGCGAAGACACAAGCCAATAATTAGAAAAAATAAATAAAATGTCTATATATATATGCACACACATATATAAATATACTTATATATATATATATAGAATATTTATAGCTTTAAATTCCGTCAAGCACGTTGCTTGCTCGTGCGCTACCCGAACTTTGACCCAACTCTGACTCGGACACGTGATAAGTATTCTAATTCAAAATCCTATTTTCATATAAAAGATTTCAATAGGAGTGAATCCAATAAGCATATTCAACTAGGGTATCCGATATTTACGAAATTCAACTGGATATATCAGCTATACGTTATTCAACTAAGATATTTAATATATACTATATTAAATATCTACGATATCCGATCCGATATCTGCGACATTCATTATCTACGATAACCGATCCGATATCTACGATATTCGACTAAGTTCTGATATCTATGATATTCACCTAAGACATCCCATCCGATATCTACGACATTCATTATCTACGATATTCGATTACGATATCCGATCATTGGATGCTACGATATTCGACTAAGTTCTGATATCTATGATATTCACCTACGATATCCGATCCATTATCTACGACATTCATTATCTACGATATTCGATTACGATATCCGATCATTAGAAGCTACGATATTCAACTAAGTTCTGATATCTATGATATTCACCTAAGACATCCCATCCGATATCTACGATATCCATTAAGTACGATAGTCTACTACGTTCTGATATCTCCGAATTGAAGATCTGTCTATTGGTCAATAATAATAGAAATATTTTACGCCACAGAATCAAGTAAATTTCAGTTTGAGCTGCCACATATAATGGTTTGAGTAGCAAATACCCTATACGATATTATGCTCAATATAAACAGGCAAAGGCATTGCCTGAGTTAACAGAATCTTTGCCTGACTAGCAAATACTCCGTCTTTATTTGAAATCTTTTACTATATTTTGAAATGCTGCCAAATAACTCTAAAGTAATAAGCTGTTTCTATATATATATATATATATAGCTTGCTTTTTGTCGATTTGAGCTGCTTTGCGAGCCAACATCCAAATATCACGTTAATTTCACGCAAGTGCTCACGGCTACTACTTGTAAATTAGATTGGAAAATATTGCACAAATGTTTACAAATAATAAAAAGTCTAGTAGTGTGCACACACACACACACACAGTCGGCAGTCGCACCCTTTTCAAGAGCTAGGACAAAGGAAGGGGCGCTCGGGGGCGTGTTTGTTGTTGGTCAATAAATATAAACCTAAAGCTGATTTAGAGCATTTGCGGCTCAGCGATTAACGACCTGATTTGTGTTTGACTTTTGCTGTTTTGCGCTAAAAAAAAGCTGACAAACAAATATATAGCTAAAATATATGCAAATATATACAAATAAACATATTTGTTTATGTATGTTTATATATTACAAAAAAAGTCAAGGAATAAGCGAGTGTGAATCGAATGAGTCAATGTTTTGAAGAAAAAAAAAAAAAAAACAATTGAAACAGCGCTAATGGGATGTCGAATAAAGATGATAATGATGATAATCTTGATTATATAATGAACAGTTGGCTCAGATAAGAATATAAACAATCTATTAATCTATAACTACACTACAACTATGTATCTCGGTACAAACATATATAGTTCTAGCAAGATATTGAATAGAGCTGACAATGAACACAGATAAACAAATTCGAATTATATATTATTGATTTGTACAGATTGGACACTAATCTTATATAAATAGAGATGGGAAATTATTATATATGCACATATAATTACAAATCTCTCAATCAGCTGATGGGCTAATACTAATTGTACAGTAAAGCTATGCAAATATGCATTGGTTATCGAATGAAATCGATGGGTCAGATAGGCATATAGATATAGATATCGAAGATAGGCATATAGACTTTACTTTTGGCTCTTGTCTACGCAGAATAGTATATAGTATACCCAACTGTAGAGTGGTATATAGACAATTGGACTGTATAGTATATAGACAAGCTGCTATGATACATATTGCATAGTCTACTATATACTCAACTGTCTACTCGCACTCATATCTTAGTATATGCAAATCATCATTAAAATTCCATAATGTAAGACTTTATCCAACTACACTATATACATATCACAACCATATATATATATATATATATATATATTTATATTTATACATGCGCACATATTTGGTGCGATAAACACCCTGAGTTGGTGCGAATCAATGTATGTCATGTCGCGATCACATGCGATTTGACAAAATCAAAGTGCGCCCAATTATAGAAACCCCTTAGACTCGATCGCTAGGCAACAAACTAGTTGCTCGAGCTATTGCTATTGCTATTGTTATTGGTATTGCTATATCTATGGCTATTTAGGGAGTGTGTGTTTATTCGGACATTACGCTAGCGCGTGTTGCTTTCTAGTTTCAATTATGATTGGTGATAATTCAATTATCGAGCAATTAACGTTTTGAATGAAGCGCCCATAAACATCTAACACTAATTTTACAAATTTGGGCTGGGGTCCGTGGGCAGGCGAGGGCGCTGTCTCGCCTAGAGTGAAATGAAAAGCGATACACGCGAATACAAAAATCAATAACAGCCATAATCAATATATAATCGTTGCGAAGTCACAAATAAAGCACTTCACGAATCATTATTATCGTCATCATCATCATCAATAAAAACAGGTGAAATATTTGAAGCACCTGTTTTAAGGTTGAAAACAACAGATTTGTCACTTAACGAATTGGATGCGGAATGGATATATCTATATATATATATATATATATATATAGATGCGAAAACTGAAAAAGAGTTGCAGAGCAAAAGCCGTTTTATCTACAACAACCTTGCCATTGCAGGGCTTCCCAGAAGTAGCTTTCGACTGATAAATGGAAGTCTTATAGTAGGATAATATGCTTTAAGGAATTAAGTACTTAAGTTGTTGAGCTTTATCGAACCCTTAACTGCAGATCTCGAATTGAGTGCATAGCAAACTGAAGAATATATTATATCAGCAGATAAATGAAATATTCATTCAGCACACAATTGAGAGGGTTTCAATGTTAGTTCGAATAGGGGGCACATGAATATAAAACTATATATCCAGTTGTTGAATACAAATGAATTTACTGTCAATCGACCACTGGCTGGGGGTTCAGGGCATGGAGTGTGTCGCGGAGTGGGCGGCATGGCTGAAGGTTTCGCAGAGACATCGTTGCCCTCATTTTCCTCTTTTTTGGGGACAGTCATTAGCCTGTTGCATGATATCGTGAAGGCCACTCAAATTGAGGGATTGACATGACACAACTTCAAGTGCAATGATACTAGAGAAACAGACATTAGTTGGCTATACGAAAAGAGTACTACAGGTACGCAGGTAGGTAGGTAGGTTCTGTCTACTTACTCGGTCTTATCACGACTGCTGCGCCGCCGCTGCTGCTGCTGCTGATAATGAGTCGAAGTATGATGACGTCGTCCTCGAACGCAGTGAATTCACATTTCTGCTGATTGCCATTTGTTTGGCTGATAAATCACGCGGACGAACGAACACCCGATTAGCTCCAACAAATTGGCCAATATAAAAAGCAGGCTAAGGTCATATATTATAGGCTCACGTCAATCGGCAGGCTCTGCCAATGGCTTCCTAGCCCAATGTATCTGCCATTAAGTAAGTAGTTTACAACTTGTTAATAAACAATGTTCTACAATTACGGTTTAAGCTCTCATTCGAGCTGACTTACCCAAACACTAAACTGTACATTTTATTTTAGTTGAAACAGAAATGAATGAGGAAGATCGTGTAAAGCTCGTCTAATAAAGGAAGGAGTATTATCAGCTCTTAGTTACTTGAATGATTTTATATAATCAGTCAGTCAATCATTTAATCAGTTGCAATTGCTATGTAGTAGATCAGCTGGGACAAGAGTTATGTATATGTATATATATTTCCATCAGTGACTACGTTTAGTCAATCAAAAAAGCAGGCAAACAATCAAGTCATTCAATCAATCAATCAATAAGACTTTCATGTATCATTATATCTAATTAGATATTGTCTTAAATACAAACTGTTCAATCATTTAGTCAGTCAATCGGACAAGAAACTTCAGCCACCTATTCAGTCAATCATAAAATAATATATGTCAGTCAGTCAATCATTTCTTCCATTCAACAATCAGCACAGACTGTCTTAACTATGCTATTCAATCAGTCGGTCAAGCCACTCAAATGCTGCAAGCGATCAGTAAACCTTTCCTATTGTAATAATTCGTTTTCAATCAGTCAATTAGTCAATGATACAATCAATCAAATTAATCAGTCTATCAGTCAGTACAAACCATCTTACATATGTTGTTTAGTCAGTCAATCAGGCAACAACTTACTTCAGTCAGTACCAACTGTTTTACTTTTGCTTTTCTATCAACCTGTTTTTCTATCAATCAACCAGCCACTCACTGATTCAATCAATCTAACCAATCTATATCATTTATAGACTTAAAAACAACTTTGAGTCAGATCAAGTTAATTGATATATATATACTATTGTATATAGTATATAACTGTATAAAATTCTATAAAAATAGTTCAAAATTTGTGAACTGTTTCCCGTTTCCTGGTTCTGCCTGATGAATAGTATCTTTCTCGACTTTATGTGCATAAGTTTCAACTGTTTGGGTACAGGCACCGGCACAGGTGCTATCAATTTGAGACCGGAACCTTCAATAACTGTTTAGATAACGCTTTTCGCTTCAAAGAACCTTTTTCTGCGCTCTTATATAAGAGCTTAGAGCACGTCACTCACTTAAGTCGTCAACTTAGCTGCAAGGTTGTGTAACCTCTTGTCAGTTAATGCTAGAGAGATAACATTTGGTAACGTCTATCTACTGCTCTTGCTTACAGTTGGCAACTCGCTCGATTGAGCCGTCGTTTGGCCTGCTGTTTGGAGACACGTTGCGAGATCTCAATGTGGGCACCACGGGCGCAGCCGTTATCATCAGCACGATGGACGTCTGCATGAACTTCTCGGGCCTGTTTGTTGGGCCGCTGCTGAAGGAGTTCTCCTACCGCAAGGTGGCCATTGCCGGCTCCATTCTGTGTGGCCTAGGCCTGGCGCTGACCTCGCCGGCATCGACAATGGCTCACATACTTAGCACTTACAGTGTCATCAATGGCATTGGCGTCGGGCTGTCCACGTCGGCGGCATTTGTGGCCCTCAATCATTACTTCAAGCATAAGCGCGGCCAGGCGGTGGGTCTCTCCATGGCCGGAACGGCGATGGGCATGCTGATCATGCCGCAATTGGTGCGTATCCTGCTGGAAGCTTATGGTTTTCGCGGTGCGGTCCTATTGCTGGCGGGCGTAGCACTCAATGCAACGGTCGGCTCGGTGCTGCTGCAGCCCATCAAATGGCACATGAAGGAGGAGTTTGACGACGAGGAACTGATGTGCATCTCGGCGCTGCCAACGCCGCAGCCTCAACTGACTAGCACTGGCGCAGCTGCCAATCCGGCGCCCACTTTCAATGTGATCAAAGAGGATGGCAACGAGGAGGATGCGCTGCCAGAGCTGAACACGCTGCTCTTCAACAAGCACAATCATAACCAGCACAGCCATCCATCGATGCGCAAGAACTACTCGGAAATGGCCATGAACACAATGAACGGCTCCAGGCTGGGCCTGACCAAGCGGCCGACCTTTCCGCGCATCATGTCCCTGGCCGGTGTGCAGTCCGCGGATGTGGGCAGCGGCAGCGGCGGTTATCCCTCACAGGCGGAGATCAATACGACGCAGTTGCGCTGTCGCAAGGCGTCCGTCACCTCGAATCTGTCTTACATGGACTTCACCGGCTCCATACTCCAAGTCCATTTGAATACCGGCGACGATGAGTTCGAGCGGAATGATCTTGAGCTGCGACGCGTCGGCACCGCCACGGGCAGCATTATGGGCGGACATCGTGACAGCTTCATCAAAATGAAACCCACCGAACTGGAAAAGCAAACCGAACTGGCCGACGAGGAGGCCAAGAAGAATGTTAAGAAGCCGGGCTTCTGGCGTCGCTTCGCCGATCTGCTCGACATTGCCATGCTCAAGGACAAGATGTTTCTCAATCTGCTCTTCGGTCTCTCCATCTTCTACGTGGCCGAGATGAACTTCAAGATGGTGACGCCCTTCTTCTTTGCCAACCTGGGCTACTCCAAAGCGGATGTGGCCTACTGTCTATCGATCACAGCCATCACGGACATTGCCGCACGTATTGTATTGCCGCCCATCTTTGACAGAACCACGATCAAGAAACGCACCATCTTTCTGGTCTCCATCATATTTGTTGCCATCACGCGCTCCAGTAAGTAGAGACTCGACAAATATATGTATATAAATATATATATATGGTTTGAATTACCTTTGTAGTTATGGCTGAGCAAACGGACTGGACACAGCTCATGGTCTGGCTATCCATATGCGGCTTTTTCCGTGGCTCAGCGCTGAGCAACTTCACGCTGACCGTCTCCGAGTATTGTTCGCTGGAAAAGCTGCCCTCGGCCTTTGGCTGGCATCTGGTGGGCAAGGCGCTGTTTGTGATCAGCTTTGGACCACTGATTGGTAAGACCCATAAAGCGTACAATAAGAATTTACTCCTAAATTAGTTGCTTGATTTCAGGTCTCATCCGGGATGTTTCCGATAGCTATCCGATTTGCATACATGCGCAGAGCGTTTGCATCATGATCTGCGCTGTGGCCTGGGGCATTGAGTATCTGGTGGAGTTTATCCAATCGCGTCGTCGCACTGCCGATGCGGCCAACTTGCCCACACAGGAGGGAGCAGCTGGAGCGGCTGGAACAGCGTCAGCGACAGCGCCAACCGGCCAGGATGTCAAGCTGTAATATGAAGGCCAAAGATCAAGAGAGAATTAACAGAAATGCATAATATGAAAACTCATAAAATGCAAACTACTTAATACTTAATTAATACATAGATACTTAATGAAAGTATGTCTTTTGTGGTCTATTTGCAGCGAAAGTCAGGCAGCTGACTTCGCCAATTATCAAGAGAACAACTTCATTCGCAAATAGCCCAAAAAAAAATAATAATAATATTATAGCAATTGCACTGTGTAACCCTCTCCCTTAATTGTATTAAACTCTCATTTGCCAGTCTTATATATATATATAAATATATAAATATATATATGTAAAGTTCGTTCCACTTAAGATCTGTTAATGGAACGACCTTTAATATCATTCATACCTATTAGTTTATTATTTTATCGACTTTTTTTTGTTTACTTATTGTATGAACTTGTATGTGATAGTTCAAAGATAGTTTGTAAGTTAGATCGTAAAGCAAGCATATTTTACAATGTACACAAGAATATAACTGTACCATGAATATGATCAAAAGGCATTAAAAAACAAAAACCAACAGCAAATGAAAAACAATAAATGAAAAACTGGCTTTAACATTTGTATACACATAAAGAACTATAAAAATATATAAATATATATACGTTTAAAATTGAACTTAAGCAACGACCAGGCCCCATCCCATGAACAACATGAACAACCTAAAAAATATATTTAGATATATAAAAGCAAACAGATATACCTTAACTAAAAACTGTAACTGCAAATGGAATTGTTTTACCAATTTACCAAATGCATATGACTATTTATACAAACATATACACGAAAGAGAAGCCAAGTTAACTGAACTGAGCTAATTGAATAAAGTTATGTTGAAACAGGATTTATACATATACATACATATATATTTACCAGACAAACTGCAGACACCTGTGAAGGTGTTCAAGGAACAACTATTTGTAAATGCCAATGCGTAACACACTAAATAAAGAGGGAGATGGAGATATAGAAAAAAAAGGACGGAAAGTGGGAGAGATGGAGAGCAAAAGAAAGTAATGAATGCAGATACAGGAAATGGAGATGGAGATCTCTGCTGTATGGAGATAAAGATAGGTTGAGTTGAATGAAATAAAAAAGAAAGACAGAGAAAGGAAGAGATAAAAGGTAATATAGAAAGATGTATATTACATATATATATAGATATAGAAAGATATATCTATTTATATATATATATATATATATATATATATGTATATAGAAAGAGAGATATGAACAGAGGTAGAGAAAGAAAAAATGTGATTTGTTTATGCGGAAAGAAAGAGACAGCTGAGAAAAGGCATACAACAAATATAAAATATGGAAATAGAGAAAGAAACAGAAACATAAATAAATATGAAACAGAGAAATCCGGAAAAGAGAAAGATAGAAAGTGAAAGTATATCTAGCTGAGTGCTCTACCCAAGTTAAATTGAGATAGAGAAAGGCATACAGAAATAAGGAAAGAGTATGAGAGCGAGTGAGAAAGGAAAGAGACAGAGAGAGAGAGAGAGAGAGACAGAGCGAGCGAGTATACTATATGCGTTGTTCAATTGAAAGAAAATAACCCACCAGAAGCGAGCAACAAAATGTTAACTACAAAGATATGCATCAGCATTAGGTTCTCCATTTAGCCAATAAAATGCCAGACAACCAACATGCAACACTATGCCTACACACATACATACATGTGTGTATATATATAAAAAAAATACCTACTGAAATGCTTTGCCGGACATGGAAAATGCCTTATTGTAAGATATATAAATCGAAAAAAAAAAAAAATACAAAAAATTCTAATAATAATAATAAATAATGAAAGAACAACGGGAAGCAATAAATGTTGCTTAGTATATAGAAGATGCCATGACCAAATAGCATACTGTTAAAATAGGGCCTCAAATGTACGCGACGCTCCTACACACACACAAACACATACATACACAATAACACTAATTCATTAAGCAACTCACAAAAAGCAGTATGTGCTTAAAAACTTGAAAGAATATGTTGTGTGTAGAATATAAAATCTGATTTTTTTATAAATATAAATATATATATATAAATATAAATATATATAAATATATATATAAATATATAAATATATAAATATGTATATATATATATATATATATATATATATATATATAATATGTATTACAGTTTACATGTGTAGTAACATAATTATATTTAGAGAAACAGTGTTATCTTTTGGATATGCATTGACGATATTGCCTTATACAAAACGTATATAAAAATATATATAAATATATATGTTTATATAACTAAATGATATATTATCAAATTTAAATAAAGTGATAAAATAACAGAAACGAACAGTTTAAATTAGATGCAGGTATCTACTAGTCGGGCAGCGCCTTTTGACACAACGGCCTTCAACGTTTGCAATAAACACAAATAGTCAACGATAATGGTGGTTCCGTAAAATCAACTAGATAGTAGACCAATAACTGTCTCTTTCTATATGGCAAATGTGACGAAATTGATAATGACAATTATAATTATTACACGGTACAGATCTTGGGCACAGTTAGCGCGTGCCCATAAAAGTGGGCGAGGGAAACAAACAAAGTCTGGGGAAAAGGTGCCGTTAATGCGTGAAGAATAAATTTAAATTGGTATAAATCATGGGTCCGTTAGCCCCTAGAGACACTTCTACTGAGGCCAGCAGCCAGGCTTTTGCTATAAATCTCACGGGGATTTCAGAGAGGTGGCACTTTATCTAAACAAGCAGAGCATTCGTTGTTCGCACTGTAAATAGTTAACTGATAAAGAAAACTATTCTAAATGATAACTGATGACTGTTGATACCAAGAATTCTTGCGGCTGTTATTGCATGTTCTGCCAGAAGGAACAAAATCAAGTACGAGTGCTGGCGTAGAGAGCGCCCGACTAGGAAAATACCCTGCACTGTGAGCAGAAATGCTTAGATAGCTTAGATCGGTCGAGTGTATATGACTGATGCAGTCAATTTACTATCAATTTATATGGTGCTCAAGCAAAGCTTAAGAAACTAACGAAATGTTCGATTTGTATCGATTGTAAGAAAATTGGTTGAGCTATCGTTAATAAAAAAAACAATTTCAAGTGTACCTTTTGAAACTTAAGAGATTGCTGAATTTGTTCATACGGACGGACAGACGAACGTGCCTTGATCGATTCAACTCGCCGTCCTGATCTGAGGCTTGACATGCCTCGTGCTGCCCGTTACATAGGTGCACACAAAACCGGTATACCCTTAAAACCAATTTTCAATGGGTACAGGGTATACGAAATACTGTGGACCGATGGCAAATAAAAGGTAGATCCCTCATCTGAACGAGAATAATATGTGAATAGATCTTGCCACGGAAGTTTTGACACGGCCATCACAGTGCGAGGGGCTGTCCATTCACCCATATAGGCACACTTTTTGTGTTACTCCAATCTAATCTCTTCAGTTGTTATGACTTAAACTAAATAATAATTCTAACTAATTGCTACTGTCAGCAGTAAGATGCTGATTAATAGGCAAAAAGATGATGAGATCTTTGCTCGAGCCCCGGCACGAATCACTTACCGCACAACTTCCGAGCAGCAAAGATGACTGCCACAGCAACAGCAACAGCAACAGCAACAGCAGCAGCACCGGCAACCAAAGCCAAGTCCTGTGAATGGGAGGCACCCGATGGCGGCTGGGGCATACTCGTCTGTATTGGCATGGCGTTACCGTTTGTAAGTAAAAACTGCAAATGGAAATAGATAAATTATATATACATATATATATACATATATATTATATATAGGTATATGTGTGTATTTTTACCGATATATCTAACTTTTGTGTTTGGCATATCTTACAGATCAGCGGATTGGCAGCGTTGCCCTCGTTTGGCTTAATATTTGGCGACTTCCTGAAGAGCATCGGCGCTGGAACTAGCGCCATTGCCCTTATTACCAGCTCCTTCTTTTGCTCGATGAGCTTTATGGGCCTTTTCTCCGGGTCGCTGTTCCGCAAGTTTGGCATGCGGCCCGTGGGCTTGGTCGGTGGCATCCTTTACTTTGTAGGCACGGGCATGCAGGTGTTTGCCAGCACAACGCTGCAGTTGACGTTTGCATTCAGTCTGTTACAGGGCACTGGATTTGGCCTAATCATTCCCACCAGCTATACGTCATTTAACAACTATTTTGTGAAGAATCGCGTCATGTGGATGAGCTTCGCCCAGACGCTGATTGGCCTCGGCTCAATGGTCTATCCCATCTTGATGCAGATGCTGATGCAGACGTACGGCTTCCGTGGCTGCCTGCTAGTGCTTACGGGCATCAATGCGCACGCCGTACTGGGCATGCTGCTCATGCATCCCGTTGAGTGGCACATGCGGCGCGTGCCAGTGGAGGAGGACGCACAGCAGCTGCAGCCCGTTCAGTCGCCGGTCGTGGTGCATGTGCAGCCAGAGACGCCATTGATGCCGATACCAGAAGTGAACTTCGGACCAGCGCCAAATGGTGCTGCTGTTCTCAACTCTTTACCAGTTTCACACTTTAGCTCACGCCGTGTGTCGCACGTGGACGACCATATGCTCAAGATAATTTCCAGTCGCTCCTCCAGCATCACCAGCCTGGGCAACTGGTCCGGCCCGATGGTGGTCACTGATGCCTCTCCACAAATGCGGCACAGCCTGCAGGCATCCCGACGCCAATCCGTTATCAGCGGCAGAAGGAGCGTGGCCAATAACATCGAGGAAAGTTCTGTTGTCACGCGAGGCTGCTGTGGTACCATTGCCGATTTCCTCGACCTAACGCTCTTCAAACAGCCCATCTACGTAAACATCGTGCTTGGCATCACATTCGCCCTATACTCGGACATCGCTTTCTTCACCATACAGCCATCTTATCTATTTGAACTGGGTTACAGCAAGGTAAGTAACAGCAAAGTAGTTCAGTTTCAGTTTAAATATATATAATTTCAATTATCATAGAATTTCTTTGAAAATAATTCTACTTGTTGGCCGCCATTTTGAAGCATCGCCATATTTTTTCACTCTCCCTAACCTCACACAATAGGACTTCCTTTTCTATCCGCCATTTTGAATTTTTGCTTTCACGCGTGCTCGTTTTGCACGTGTAATTTACTTTAGCACACGGCGAGTGCGTAAATTCACTTTGCTATACGTAGAAACACAGACCTACACACACACACTTAAGCTTGCCTGCACTTTTGTTACAGGGTCTCTGCTTGCTGCCCGCCATTTTGAATCTGCGCACGTGACAACGTATTCGTTGGCACTTCTGCGAAGACCTAAAACGCACGCGCATCGCGCTTATTTTGAATTTATTTGATGCATTGCAATCATCTTTGGAGCGCCGATTACTAGCCAAAAAAGAGGCTAGTTGTAAAAGATGTCCCTATCAAAGCACTTCCCTGCATGCATAATTTATGTACATACGCACATATATACATATACATATGTATATTTACACAAACATGCTCACACATTATAAGCAGCAATTTAGTCTGCTTAAAGAAAATTGCTGCACACTTAAAAAAAATATATATATAACACCAAAATTGAAAGCATACTCACAGTTCCAGTCTCCTGGTTGCTGTCCAAAAATTAACTGGCAGCAGCTCTCTTGATTGCCGGTAAAGAAAACTCTGTCGGCCGAATAGATTCTAAATATGTGCGCCATTTTTAGTCGCACAGGAGCTTCTGGCTCAGCCGCTCTCTAATTATCTCGTTCGCACTAAGCTGCAACGGCTGCGGCGACAAGGAAAGATAGACAAAGATATTTAGTTTCGAGTTGCTTTTTGAGTTATGCGAAAAAAGAACCGTTGCTTATTGGCGTTGCCACCTTGTAAAGATATTGTTAAAGTTCACTTTTGTCACGAAACTCGAAAATCATATCAAATGCAGTTCACAATATGATTATTTAATTTATTTGTTTTTACATATTTTATTGACTTTCTGTTTTTTTTAGCCCGATACCGCAAATATCATAGCAATTGGTGCGGCTGCTGATTTGATATCTCGCGTTTTTCTGGCAATTACTGCGATTTTTATTCAAGTTCCTGCACGTTACATTTACTTGGCTGGTGCGCTTTTTACTGTGTTCGCCAGATTTGGTCTGTAACGTATGCATTTCTTATACAATTAAGCCATATTAATTCATTTATACACTATTGCAGCTTTCAATGACATCACTGATTTTGTAGGCATGGCCTGCATAACGGCCGTGCTTGGCTTTTTGCGCACTTGGATTCACGTACCGCTGCCTTTGGTGTTTGCCGATTATTTGCCAAAAGATCGGTTCGTTATCGATGAATCAATATCAAATTGCCCGAACTAATATAAAGACATATTTATTTCTTATGTAGATTTGCCAGCGGCTACGGCCTGTTTATGTTTACGCAGGGAAACGCGATGTTTATCATTGGTCCAATCATTGGGTATATTCGAGATCGCACGCAAGATTATTTGCTGGTTTTCCACATTTTGAACGTGTTCATGGCTATGTGTGCTGTGCCATGGATCATTGAAGTGTTATGCGTTAAATTTCGTCGGCGCAACAAAATTGAGAAGAACAATGGTCAATAAAACCTCTTGGCTTTTGTAATTTAATGAATATAGAATAAACAAATGTTAGGTTTCATACACCTCGTAGATATAATTGAATAAAAAGAGAATCGGAAACACAATCTTTTTCACATTTGAATTTCTGGTTCAAAAACTATTCAACAAATACAATACAAGTATCGAGCAGATATCGAATATTCATTTGCATTCAAATCAAGCATTTTCTCCAGAAGCTAAAAATATATATATATATATATATATATATTATATATATATATATAATTATATATATATATAATTATATATATATATAATTATATACATATATAATTATATATATATAATTATTTATAATTATTTATGAATATTTTTTCTAATTTGGTACGATTTTGTAGTTCTTTCCGCTTAACCCAATTTAAACTTGTGAACAAGCACAAGGCGCAAAGTATTTGTGTTATCGACTACAAATGGCATAGCAGTCAGCTTCTCGTTGTCAGCGAACAGCTGACATCTACACCATGCATGGTCACACTCACACGACACATCATATTTGTTTTGCTTGTTTCTTTTGTGCCCCACTTACTTTTGCTGAACCCCATTCCCCCCTTCACAAAAAAAACCTCAATTAAGCTCTGAACAAATGGTACTGCAACAAATCAAAATGCTCCTGCTGGGCATCATTACGCTGTTCCGGCGAGCCCTTTGCTGCTTTTCGCGTCGCCGCAAGCTCAGCCACGGCGGCGCAGACCAGCTTCAAGCCGTTACGATTGGCGACTTCCCGGCAACAGCTAAGCCGGCGATGTCGGGCGCCAGCAGCAAGGAGCGCGACTGGAACTCGTGGGACGACAGTCCACGCACCGTCGAGGAGCACATTGAACAGTATCGCCAGCGCATGGCCCAGCCGCCCACACCGCCCAAAGAGGAGCCCGAACCGGATTTCTTCAGTGTAAGTGTTTGCCAGAACCACAAAGATAACACACTCTCAATCGTATCTATGTGCCTGCAGGAGTTGACGCCGGTGATCAAGCCGCAGCTTAAATACTATCTGGACGATGCGGCGCCGACGCCAGCGCCCACAGACTTTTCAAGACTGAAGGCACAGGACATTGTGCCGATTAGTGTTAATGTAAGTGAACACTCGTCGTTCCAGAGCAGCCAACTGATGGGTCTTTTGCTTTACAGGCCGATCTCGAGGACTGGGTGGACGACAATGCCGGCGGCTGGGAGGAGCTGGACACCTCACAAACAAAACAGATCATCCGGGACAAGCGCCGCGAGCTGCGACATCAACGCCAGCCGCCGCCCAAAGCACCGCAGCCTAGCATCGGCGCTCAGCGGATCAGCGATGTTCAACGCATCGCGTAGTTTTTGGTAGCCAACTGACATCCGCTGACATCTGCTGCTCTATGATCCATTCCATGATCCATTCGCAATTTATTCATCTGCTTCTGCACAGACCCAGAAGACAGACTTTTAGTTACCAATTGGCCTTAGTTTAATGAACCCCATCTGAACATTTTTCGCCATGGTTGGGCACAATAAAGCGCCAGCCACGAATCTATGCCTTTCACTCGCACTTCCTCCAGCCGCCGATTGCATTTCCTGACGCGCTGCGGTTAGCCATTGCCCAATCATCAATGTCCAATTGGTTTGGACACGCATCGCTGGATCAGCTGTTGGCATATATAGGCGGCCGCCGATCGAGGCAGCGCTTTAAATCGCAATGTTGCTGCTGATGCTGATGCTTGGTGCGGTCGCTGGCTACGATCACAGTGTCAACTATTGGCAGGCCTTTGCTCCGGGCAAGCTGCTGCAGCGTTTGGATGCACTTACTGCCGCAGATGGGCAGCCTGGCCGGGCCGAGGCTCTGACGGCTCAGCTGCCGATGGCCCAGGCCAAGCTTGACGAGGATGCCGACGACGATGAGGATCAATTGGAAACCGAAGCAGATGCAGCCGAGGCCGTCGACCATGACGACGACGTGGACGAACTGGAGGCGGATAGCCACAGTGCCGAGGGACATTCTGGCGAGGATTACGAGCGCAACTACGAACAGTTCGTGCGGCAATATTTTGATCGCATACCCGACGAGGCGGACGACAGCGATGGCGACGCTGTGGCGGACCACGACGACAGTGTCGAGTCGCAAGCTGAGGCGAGCAGTGTGCAGCAGCAGCAGAAGCACGAGCCCAAGCAGACGCAGCAGCATTGCCGTCGCGTGCGCCGCAAGGGCCAGCTGTGCGAAATATGCCGCGAGCCGCGCAACAACGAGGTCTCCGAGACATGCAGCTACTCGCACGAGGAGCAGCCGGAGCTGTATGCCTATGGCAGTGGCAGCCAGTACAAGCGCTACCGGGACCTAGCGCCGGACGAGGATCAGAGCGAGGAGCAGCCAGCAGCGCGTCAGCGTCGCAACGAGCGGCACACGACAATCGTCCAGCCCGCCGACGGCAGCAGCAGCAGCAGCAGCAGCAGCGCCAGCAGCCTCTGTGAGCGTCGCATGGTGGGCAAGAGCGTCTGCTACGAGTGCAAGGACAGCGGCGGCCAGCAGCTGCGTCGCTGCTACGATGCAGCCATGAATAAGGAGAGCAAAAGCAGCATCAAGCCGCATGCCAGGCAGGAGCAGCGCATCTACAAGCGCACCATCAGCTATAGCTATGCGCAGGGCAGCCGCCAGGCTGATCCTGATGCTGATGGGGGCGTGACCACAGCAGCTCCAACACTGGCCTTGAACAGCACCGTTATGCCAACGTCCACAACAGCCACGTCCTTGCCGCCTGCTCGGCGTCCGACAAGAGTCTTGCGTCGTCGCCTTCCAGCTTCAGCTACAGCTGCCTAGTGGGCGTGGCAAACACAAATCTATAAAGTCCATTATTTTTTTTGTATCTTATCTTATCTATATCTATATCTATATATATGTATTCATTCTTTCTCTTTTTAAGCTTAAATAAAATAATTGAAAAAAAAATTTTTTTTTAGTTTCATAAAAATTCTTGATTTTGAGCTTCGGAGGTCTAAAGTTTTGAAATTTTTAAAAAAAATTTTGGATTTTTTTCTTTGGAATTTCTTAAATTTCAGCAGTAAGCGCGTCGCAGTCGGGCGCTCTCGACTGCATAATACTCGTTCACGCTCCTACAAACTTTTAAATATTTTCTTCGTAAATCTCAATTTGAAATCTGTCCAATCTGAAGGATCTAGTTTCAAAACTTGAGTAGTTAAAGCTGTTGCCGCTTTGCGGCGCTCTATTAAAACTTTGGTAGTCTCTTTCACGCTTTGCCACGCCCTCAGCAGGCGGGTATATATCATTTCTGATCCATCCATAGCAGCTATCTCCAAAGCTATTGGAAATGAACTAATTTCCTATTAACTCAAGTAACTCAAGTTTTCTCGAGTTGCCAAGCCCCCATGCACGTAATTATAAAAACTATATATTCCATTTATATGGGGTTTCACTATATATTCCAAATCGCTACAATTGATAACTGATAAAGTATTTGCCATCGATCAAAACACTTTGTAAGATCAGATTGCTAACGAGTGCTTTCAGCTTGAAATGGCTTGCGTTCGAGGGGGCGGACGGACACACTGACGGACGGACACTTGAACGGACTTACGGGCAAGGAGACGGACGGACGAACTTATAGCCGAACGGACACATGGGAGACGAGCGGACACAGAGGACGGACGGACTAACGAACGGACTTACGGGCAAGGAGACGGACGAACGAACTTATAGGCAAACGGACACATGGACGAGCGGACACACGGACGAGCGGAAACAGAGGACGGACGGACTTACGGCCAAGCAGATGGACCGACGAGCTTACGGGCAGACGAGCGGACACAGAGGACGGACGGACTAACGAACGGACTTACGGGCAAGGAGACGGACGGACGAACTTATAGGCAAACGGACGAGCGGACACACAATCGGGCGAACACACGGACGAGCGGAGATACGGACGGGCGAACACACGGACGAGCGAACACAGAGAACGGTCGGGCGGACAGACAGCAAGATGGACAGACAGACAGTGAGACGAACCATGCACAAAACCTTTACACACACAGATCTAAAAAGGTTTAATACAAAAGTCCAACTCAAAGCTTAGTTTGAAGACTTTTCAGTTCCGCCGACCAAAGATTGTTTTCCCCAAATGCTGAGCTCTGTAATCTCGCTAACTGCATTAGCTCAGTATTTGCGAGCAGCGCAGAGGCGTGGACTTTGCACACGAAAAACAATAACCGAGATCATATTGGTTAGATAAGCCGTTGGGTCCACGTGAGCGCGCTTATCAGGGTTTGGCAACGATAATTGATTTCAGATTGCCATATATACCTGTGCGAGTGTGAGTGTGACACCTGTCCCCCTACGGGGCAGCTGGCAAAAGTGCTTACGACTCGAGATTGCATTTCGCAGAAAAATTCCATGCTTATTTGCTGCGCATACAGAATGGGAATTTGCTTCAGCTAACTGTACTAAAATGGCACTAAAAGTGGGAAATTTCTTAATTAGCAGTTAAATGAAAATGAAATGCCAGAAACATTGGGTTTTCTTCTGATTGTTTCGTTTTTCGTTTTCTTTTTATTATTTTACTTTACTCTCATAATACATGCGATATTGTTTTTTCGATTTAATGCCTTTTTCCTTTGCCCATATTTCTGATCTTGGCCCCTTTTCCCTGCTCTGGCATCATTGCCAAAAAGAGAAGCTCGTCTCTCGCTCTCTCTCTCTCTTTCTATGTGCCATCTCGCTCTAATACGAAACAGAATAGCATATGTATATGTATATATATATATATATATATACATATATATATAAACAAGTTGTTAGCTTATAGTTAGAGTCGCAGACGTTTGCTTTCTCTTGCTGCTTGGATCAGGCAAGCTCTTGATGCAAAAATAGATTTATGTGTATAAATATATATATATATGTATAGTGTTTGTATGCACATATGTATATACATATGTATAGATATATATGCAGTACAATGTACTTTAGTTATTGTTATTACAAATGTTTCTTGCACGCTCCGTATCATAAACGTAAACAGAAGAGGCCAAACCTTTATTTATAAAATAAGGTTTTCTTTTTGTTGTTGTTGTGTTTTAGTTTATATAATTAAACAATACATTTTTGTTAAAAAAAAAGTATATATATATATAGTTATATATAAATTAACAACACAAAAGGTGTTGCGTATGGTTGTTGTTGTTGTTGTTTTTTTTTTTTTGTGGGGTTTTCTCTCCTTTTTTTCGTTTGTTAACTTTTTACGCTTAATTACAATAGCAAAAAAATAATACAATAATAATAATAATAAAAAAAATTCTAAAAGAACGTTACAAGAACAATTTGCAGGTCGTTGATAGTTGTTGTTGTTGTTGTTGTTGCGCCACTAAATTTGAAAATTAGTTTCAGTTAACTACGGCAGACACATGCGTCCGGCCGTATTGCCTTGTTTGGTTTTCTACAATTTGTTGTTACTCCTTTTGTTGTTGTTGTTGTTGTTTATCTGTAGTTTTAATTGAGTAGTTGCTGCTGTTGCCGTTGTTGTGTTGCTGCTGTGCAATTCAATTGCTGTTGTTGCTATTGTTGTGATTGTTCTGATCGACGCTGTCCATGTTGGGCACATAGTCGAGCGCCATCATGCAGGCAAAGACGGTCATCACCATCTTGGGCTTGACCTCGGTTATGTCCTCGGGCAGGGCATAGACACGGGCGCCAATCTTGCGCGCCATGGATATGGCATACTTGGCGTTGGCCAGGTTATCCTGAAATGTTAAGATGTTTCGAGACTTTAGACTTGATCATTTTGCTGCTGCTGTCTACGTACCTCCTGCGTGCCGCTGGTGCGCACCAGCTCATAGTTGATGCTGCCCTCCTTGATGGCATCGATCAGATCGATCACGATCTTGCCATCGGCGATCGCTGGATCGTTGAAGTTCCTCAACTGCGACTGCTTGCCGGCGTCGGAGAGGCGTGTGTTCACCCACTGCACGATCTCCTTCTCGATTATGGGATTGCCCGTGTTGGCCAGCCGGGACAGAATGGAGAGTGTGTAGGCGCGCATCAGCTGCCAGATCAGAGCTGTGTAAAAACGCAAAGGAACGGTTAAACTAAGTCACTTCGCTATATTTGCTAAAGCTCAACGGAAGTCTGAATTGAAAGCGAATGGAAAATGAAGCCAGTCAGGCACTGCCCGACTAGCAAGCACCCTGACTATTTGGAATAACGAGCGTCCTGAATGAGCTATTAAAGGCAACACTAGAAATTTCTACTCAAGTCTTGAGCTTTTGCTGCTTAGAGAACGAGACCATGGGAAGGTTCACGTGCTTGGACGAAAGAACATGTTTAGAGCGACTTATCTCGTCATTCAGTCAAGCTTGGGCCTTCTTAAATGAGCTTAGAGCATACCAAATTGACAGCTGTTCATAAAAGGCTCAAGATTCGTTTTCAATATATGCCGAAAGTCAGAAAAGTTCGAGTTCACATGAAACCCTATTATCTCTTTCCCTTTCTCTCTGTGTTTCCCTCTCCTTCTGTAGCTCTGCCTTCTTCGCCTCTATCTAGCCTCCGCTAACGTACCCAGCGTGAGCGTGGCATTGCCATCGTTCAGATCCTGTCCAGCAATGCCAACCAGCGAGAACTTCAGCTGTTTGCCCAGATCAACGGCATAGTTGCAGTTCTCCAGCTTCTCCATGAACTTGCGCAGCGGCGTGAAGCGCTTGTGGACGCGACTCCAGTTGACAATGCCTGGCTTGATGACATCAAACAGCTGGAAGATGACCAGGCCATCGGCCAGATCCGAATACAGCCAATTGACATGCGGCGCCACGCCCATCGAGTTCATCCAGTTGCGATAGGCTGCAAAAGAAGAAGAAGAATGAGCAAGCGCTGCAGAGCCACGCAGAGATTGGCACTTACTCTTCTCCTCGCGCGTTTCCTCAATGGACTCGAGACCTTCGATCTGCTCCGGCTTGTCCAGGCCGGGATGGTTGTTGAACAGATTGGCCACGAAGGCCAAGTTCAGCTTGTAGACACCATTGACGACGTCCTGGGACGTGAGGAAGCTGCGGCAGTTCAACTTGGCCGCCTGCTGCAGCATGATCTCGGCGCGCTGCTGCAGATCGGATTCGCGCAGCGCATCCAGATTGACGTCGGCCTCGTTGCCGGCGATCTGCTTCAGCAGATGCGAGTAGATCTCCGAATCGACTATGTCCGACTGGAAGTTGGTGCAGCGACGCGAGATGCCGGCACGCTCCAAGTGATGGTTCACCCATCGCAGCAATATGGCCTCCGGCGACATTTTCATCAGATCCTCCAGTCGCTCGTTGTCAAAGAGCAGACCGGCCAGGCCGGGACAGCTGTCCAGCGTGATGTGACTGAACAGGCCAATGCGTATGATCTGCCAGAGCAGGCCGAGCACCAAATGCGGCTTGCCCTTGGCCAGATCGTGGGCATCAATGTTCACAATGTTGCAGCCGATGGCCTGCGAGGAGACGAGCGCCAGCGTCAGATTCTCGAACTCACGATAGACGGTGAGGCTCTTCTTGTTGATGGCGCGCTCGTCGATTGTGTCGGGGCAGGAGTGATTGATGATCTTGCACAGCAAGATGCCGTCCTTGATCGACTGGTAGAGGCGCTTGCCCTCCGCATCGATGGGCAGCAGATGCTGCAGGTCCTTGTCGTGGCCCAGATTTGAGTTGATCCAGTCGGAGAAGGCCAGCTGCTCCTCGAGGCGCACCGAGTGCGTGGTGCCCTCGGACGATATGCTGGACATGCCGCCTAACGTCTCCAGGTTCTCCTTCTTGGAGACGACCGTTTTGAACGTGCTGGCCACATCCTTGGACTTGAGGTCCAGACAGAGCGTCTCGAACTCATCCAAATTCAGTTTGCCCTGATGCGCGGTGCGCTGTTTGCCTTTGAACTCGTCAATCATCTCGCGCACCTGGTAGCCGGCCAGCTTGAAGCCCACCTGATTGAGGGCATCCTTCAGCTCGTTCAGATCGATGAAGCCATCCTTATTCGCGTCCAGCTGCAATCAAGATGAACCAGATATCGATTAATGACGACCCACACTTGGCAAACACATCGCCACGACCGATGACTAATGCGATCTTACTCATTGCTATTGGAATTGCTGACACGCTGAATCGCTGAATGGCTGACTCAGCGCGCGAATTTGCCTAAGTGTAATCGATGGAATTGACGAATGCCAATGCTAAACAGATGCCAGCCACTCAGCCACGATCGATCTATGGCCGCTCGGGCATGTGCTTTATTTAAGACATTGCCTCACCTCACCTCACCTCAGCGCACACCTGCACATGTGAGCTGAGAGCAGACCTTCCCCCTCCCATTACCATCTCTCGCCTCTGTCTGCCACATATGATGGCTACTCTCTATCACATTTGCTGGCAGCGCTTATCAGCTTGATTAATTACGCCCAACCACCTGCCTGCCTGCCAGCCATCACAGCAATTAGATCATTGGTAACTTCTATCTTCTGCCAAGGCTTTCCCAAAGCGAGCGCCCCGACGTCCCCCAGTTCAACTGACGTATATATATAGCTATCTATATATATATATATATATATATACGTGTGCGTAATTGAACTATCATTGTGACAGCTTAAGTTAACTAATCGTGCGCAATCGTTATCGTTATCGATATCGAAATGCCTCAAATATTGCGATCCTCAACATTGAAGTGGCATGCGTAATGCCGCGATTTCAAATATTGTGAAAAGCTTGCGCCCTTTTTTAGACTTATTTCATATTTAATATTATTATTATAGTTTTTTCTTGCAAGTCTTTATAGAAAAGTCATGATATAATAGGCGGGAAGTTCAGTGATTAGGAAACTTCCTCCCATGGGAAATCAAGGCAAAGCCCAGCCCAATCCACTTCAGTCCAGTCCAGTTAAGCATGTCTCTTAGAGCTATTGTCGAGTGGGTGTTTGGCGCAGAGAGCATTTCGTCTGGAGCGTTTGTGACTCTGGTGTGAAATTCTCATCGTGGCTAGATACAGATATATCTATAAATGGTATGGCTTGTATGCCTTTCTATATGGTATTTGTGCCGTTCGGCCGATAATGATGACGATGATGGTGATGTTTGGCTTTTTCGTTCGTTTGCTTCGCGCTTCCCGATAAGATAAAGTTTTGTGGCAAAATGGCAACAAAATCGAAAATAGCACCAGTTCAGGTGTATGTTAATGCTTACATACATATACATACATAAACGGGGAATGGAAATGAATGACTGATGTGGTGCCTGCACGGTTGGCCTAAATGCTCTAGGCCGAATAGTTTCGATAAGCCACGCACAGACGAAATGGCCAACATGGAGTGACTGACATTAAGCGGAAGTTCGATTTGGCCCTCTGGTCAGTTGATTGTGATTTCGAGGCGCGTGAACTTTATCAAAGGTGTTCACTGTAACGGTAAAAACAGAGCAAAGCATATTTGTTGTTGTTGTTGTGCGCTTGTCTGCGTTATCGATTCAGAAACGACCATAAAGTGTTCCCGACAACAATGGCAAACACCTTTTGATTACGTGAACCGTGAGTAATAAAAAAAACATGTATATGAAATGGCTGAGAAAATATTGAAAATGCAATTTATATGATTGTGTGGCGCCATCTAGATGTCACCACTAGATACACACGCGCACACACACTCGCAACTGTATACCTACATCGGGCAGCATCTCCTCCAGATTCTGCTTGAACTCCTCGACAGTCTGATACTGTTCAACGTTTAAGATATCGGCCATTTTTTTTTCTTTTTTTTTTATATTTATTTCGTTAGACTTTCGTCGGGCGCACTTTTGTATATTTTCGCTTAGCCACTTAATTGCTGAGCGATATAAACAAAAACAAAACAAAAATTATGCCTGAATTAAGTAAATTGATTCAAGACAAATACACGCACAAGGAGAGAGAGAATGGCAAAGAATACGCACGCACATGCACACACACACACAGACGTGATCGATTTGAGAGCGCGGCACGAGTGCTTGAATGGCAGGCGACAGAACTAAATCACCGTTATGTGCTAAACCAATGAGAGTACGCGAACCGTAAATGTGCGCGAGAGAGCGCAGATTTTTTGGCAAATGGGAGCACAGGTCGCGAGCGAGCGAGCGAGAGAGAGAGTAAGGATTTTTGAAAATACAATAGAACTGGAATTTACTCTGCGTTCCGGCGTTTGTGTTGGCGCCTCTGGACGAGCTGTACTACTAATTGAGCGCCTGACGCAGTGCGCACTATTTATGCCTTTTCTTTTATCAGGTAGGCAGCGAGCAGAGCCAGCAGGCGCATTCGCTCATTCGCCCACCTCTCCCACAAATCGAACGCGCAGCAGTTTTCTTCTTCTTGCTTCCACTTTTTTTTGTGATAACGCCTGAGCAACCGGCGGCAAATCGATCGGCGGGAGACCAAACCACATTGAAGAGCGGCTGTTTTTATGCCCTGAATCATACGTATGCATGGATTGCCTTACTTATTTTATTTTTCTTATGATTATTGTTTTCAAATGGGGTTAGTCACATTGCTTTTTATTTTTATTAACTAAGCAATCGCCTAAGTTCCTATGCTTTGGCAAAGTTAGTCATGTCTCTCGATTTGCATACTTCAGTCAGTTCGATTCTATTTGAATTTAATTAGCCTGACACTGGAATTCATTATGAAAAACAAAGTCATATGAGCCAGCAATTAAATTTTCTCTACATGCATGTGTGTGTGTGTGTGTGCGTGTGTGTTTGTTCATTTTGGTCATTCGCTCTGATAACAGGCAACCAAGTCAAGCAGCCAGCCAAGCGAACAAACCAACTACAAGCGCTCGATACCTTGCGCCACATTGAATTCCAAAACGTCAGCTAGCCCAATCAGTCAATCAGTCAGTCAGCAGAACTTGTAGCGATATCGATTAAGAATATCAGATTACATTCGATTATCGTCGCTTGTAATAGGGTTGTCATAACACTCGATCAGTTAAGCTGCTCAGTGCTTGTACAATCTCCAAGGACCATCACAGAGAACATGGGCTTATCGCAATCTACGAATGCTAGAGTAGCACTTTGTTGGAGCAAAACTTTGATTTCCTGAACAGCGTCAAGTCTTTGATCTGTTACTGATCTAACTGCCGTTTAAAGCTCATTCCAGTTGATTGACTAGAAAAGAACTTGGGCCAACTTTGCATATTTCGCCGCTTCATTAATTCTTATGTAAATTGCTAAAGGTCTTTCTCTAATTTGTTTATTGAGTCTCTTGCTTTGCCAACTGTGGCAACCCTAGCTGGAGTGTCAAAAAAAAAAAAACAGAAAAACCTTTTATAAACTGCTTACGCATCGAAATTGTATCTCTGCTCGAATACCTTACGTAAGTAGATGTATTTGAAGTATGTATGTAAGCAGTTATAGATATGATGAACTGAGCGATTTGAGAGAGCGCGACAGAGAGAGAGAGAGAGAGAGAGAGAGAGAGAGAGAGAGAGAGTGAGAGAGAGCTGTGGTAACAAGTCATTTAAACGTAATTGGTTTTTTAATAGCCATTGTATCAGCCAGGGAATTATGTGCCAATTGCCTCTTGCCAACTGTGTTGTGTTGTTAAACATAAACTTAAATCATTCTGTCAATTGATAAGGAACAATTTGTCGATAACAAGCCAGTTAGTTATTTATTAGGACGCAAAGCGCTGCTCTCTTGCCTGGCAAACGACATTACGATTCCATAAGATATGCTCAATCGAGTTGATTTCGCTGCACGATGACTAAGCCCCGCACTCCACACAAAGGCCACGCATTGTTCTAGCCAAAAGTCGTTCAGTTCACCATTTGGCTTACATGATTTTGCCAGCTGTTCAAACCAATTCACTTCGCGAGCTACTTTACTCTGCCTGCACTTATATCAATCTATTCTGTCCATTGTTCTGCAATGCTTTCCATTCATTTTCAGCTGACAGCAGTGTTAACCTTTCACATATGTGTGTGTGTGTGTTTAACGCTTACAATTGTATTTAAACAGCTTTCGATTTGGGTGCAATGCATTCATCAATTGTTTCAATTCATAAATGCGCTTAGGCTGCAAAACTATCGATAACATCGATAACTTTCAATACTTTTGCAGCATGTTAAGATGTTTGAATCGTTGGGAAAACTAATATTTAGACATATATCATATATATAGAACAATGCCAAATGAAGCAAGTCAGGCACTGCTCGACTGTCAAACACCCTGCCTCGAGCTGCACTCTGCACGCTCTGCCCGAGCTGTTGCTTAGTTGTCTCTAATTAATTAGAAATCTATTTTGTGTGAAGTAGGCACGGCTGAACTTATAAAGTATACATAGTACTGATAGGGATAACGAGCTGAGTCGATCTAGCCAGGTTCGTATGAAAAACGAGACCTAGAAGACTAGAAGCCATTTGCAATAAATTCTTTAAAATAGTGCTTTGGCAGATACTTAACTAATATCTAATTAGTAAACTTTATCTAGAGGAAAAAAGAGTTTTCACAGTAAAGCACAGCTCAAGAGCGAGCTTATTGTTCTTTGGACAACAGTTTTAGGCCGTGCTCAGGGTATATCCTAGTCGTACATTGCCCAGCTACTGCTTGTTTCTCTAATTGTAAGCAGAGTAAGCTGAGCTGAATGTGGTTTAATTTACCTTGAGCTTCAGCAAGTTCAAGTTCGTTTCTTGGCCTTTCCACTGTCATTGCATAGCACAATTTTGGTGTCTCAGTCAGAGCACGACAAAGAGCCACAAGAAGACCAAAGAAGACAAAAGGTGAGCCAGGTAAAAAGGTCAGAATGAAACGGCATACGGCCAACACACACACACACACACACACACACACACACACACGACCCGCAATTATGACTTTTTGACGCGCGAAAGTTTTGTTAATGAACTTTAGCTGGGATTGTCATTTGGAGTCAATTTACTGCAAATGAAGTTCATTAGCGGGCCTAAGATGCTAAACGCTGTTTGCCGTCTGTCTGCCTGCCTGCCTGCTATTCTCCTGTTGACACTTTA